CAGCTGCAATGTGTGCTTCTGTTCTGACACCCCTCTAACCTTCAGTTCAACCATTATCTTCTGTGATGACTTCCATAACAGGTAAGAATCTATGTCTTATGCTCACCGCTAACATCTAAGTGATCTAACCTATTGGCTATTTATTCTTTCAGGTTCCAGGTTAAAGTATGGGCTGTTGCTGACAATTGTCTATTAACAGTTTGGCCGTACCTGGCATTACATCGCTCTGAACAACAAATCGTACTCAAAACAGGTACTGTAGACCATACATAGCTTAGAGGTATAAAGTCATATTCTATACCAAATGACACTGATATGTGTACGCATGTATAGGTGCCACAGCTGTCGAGGCTGTGCTTCAGAATTTTCACATACAAAGTGTAGGATCTTTTTCTTCAATCTCAACCTTTGGTCTCTCCAGCTCCAATAAAAAGCTATCAAGTTCAGGTAATAGTTGTAACCATTATGTTTGTATGTATTCAGAGTTTATATTATTTTGTTTTACATTGACTTCTGTCAGACTCTTTTCCTGGGAGTACTGATACCAGTGATCATAGCAGTAGTGAGGAATTGGCCTCTTATAGCAGAGGAACCTCAACAAACTGCGGTGTTCCAGAGTTTTATGCCTCCAACTCAGAGCTGGGCCTCTTCTACCAGAGTGTGTTGGTTGCGGTGGAAAGATGGTTTAGTTTGTTTGGATGGGCTAATGGACCATATCCGATCTCTGTCCCACATACTGTGAGAATGTAAGACCACTATTTATTAATATGTCTGTATGGAAATGCAACATTAAGACATGTTTTTTGTTTTGTTTTGTTTTTTATCTTTCATTAGAGTTGAGTCAAAAATTCAAACAAATACTTACAATGGGAAAACTCCAAATAAGGGCTTCAGGTCTGTATCTATACTGTATTGATTTGTGTCATTGTAAATTTCACTCTAGAACTACTACTTACAAATTGATGTGGTGCTTAGGTCTGTTGTGGACCTGCTTATTCATCTAACTGGGAAAGAGATTCCTGGAATTCCCCACAGCCAGTCCATTTCAGATGATTTGAATCAGCGTACACTTCAGCTCATACAGCAGTACAAAGCCGTACTTAAATTCCTCAGGTAAATGACAGTAGACCTGGGTAGGAGTATCTTTGTCTCAGCTTTTGGTATGAATATGCTGTGTCCACAGTGTTCAGGGAGCCTGCCTGTCTTACTTGAGGCCAGAGTACTTGTTGGACAAGAGTGAATTTATACACTGGTGCTCTTTGCAGGTACAACTTAACCCTGTTAACTCACACACAAGCTGACTCCTTATTGACTTTTGTCTACTGTCTACAGGTGAAAGAGTGCACAAACCATGTAGACTACAGTAGTATTAACTATGAGTCGATGAGCAAACGTTCATGGACGGATTTGCTGCTACAAATTTATAAGGTTATTGTATGATGTTATTGTAATTATGTATTTGTAGATGTAATTACTACATATTCCCTGCCTTCCAAACTGAAATATCTTTTCTTGTATCTTAGTTGTTTATCTTATGCCGTGTGTCATTCAAAGAATTGACATGCAATTCAGCCCTGAATAAAGTGGCACCCAGCTGCCTACAGCCAGAAGCCAGTAACATCTACTCTCCCTTTGAACTCCAGTTACTTTCATGGCTTAATATGCATTATGAAAGCATGAGGGAAACAGTCTGGACTGCTGGTATAAAATATTGAATCACATCACAAGTATTTTGCAGCTAAGTAGACCAGTATTTGATAATTGCTTTGTCTTATTTTAGATGGTGCAGCACCAGCTCGCTGGATTGTCAATTTTGATTTGGACTTTACAGATGGGCTTGTGCTAGCAGCTCTGCTAGCTGCCTATTGTCCTTACCTGGTCAGTGTGCTCTTGTGTCTCTCTAATCCTGTTCATGTAGTGCAGATTTTCAGTTTGCTTTGTGACAATGAAGGATTGCCGTTAATGTTGGCAAGTGGCACTGTGATTGATGTGATAGGGTTGCAATTAGTTCTGAAATTGATTAGTGTAAGCTCTTATCATGTTAAGTACAATTTGTGTATGATGTGGTTGAATGTGGTGGCATTAGGCATGGCAAGTCACTTTGGAAAAGAGTAAAAACAATTTAGCAATTTAGGGTTTAAATGGTCAAATCTGCAGTTTCTTAAATTTAATTAATTTGTTTGGAGGATAAGCCCCTTGAGATGTCTCGCCATCTCGTTTTCAGGAGTTGTCCTCATAGTAACAACAACAGAACACAGATACAGTAGGGCAGACAGGAGGATACATACATTCAAATAAACATAGAAAAAAAAAAAACTAAATCAACACAACCATACACACACAATTCTATAAATGTCCGTCAGTTTATGTTTATGTCTCATTTACAAGTAATGGATTTAATATGTATCCCACCAGATTTGCAGTCATTTTAGCAGGATGTACACAAAGCCCACCAGCATGGAGGAGATTCTTCATAACAACATCATAGTAGTGCAAGCCTTAACTACACTTTCTCTCAATATTGATATTTATGTAAGTAAACACACAATATAGTAAGTCTACTTGTTCTTGCTCATTTGTTTCTATATGTAGCCCACAGACCTGTCAGATCCCAACCCTGTGCAGATGTTAATGCTGTGTGTTCATCTGAATAAGAAACTTCCTCAGTATCAGCCAACACAAACCATTACCTTATCAGGAGAGTTACACAGCACCATTAGCAAACAGGTACCTGAAAGCACACGGCACTCATTTAGATTTTAATTCACAGAGTTTAATGGTGATTACTTTCTGTCGGCGAATCTGGTTCAGGTTAGATGAATGCATATTGAAAAACTGCAGCTGTGATCCAAAGATGAAGTACATTAATGGGATTATGAGATTATGAACACTGCTAAATACAGATGACATTTGAATTATGCAGTTGAGAATAATTGCTGTCACTGATTTAGCCAGATGAACAGGTCTGTTAGTGTTTTTTATTTGTGAGATGTTAAAACTAATTGTTTTTGTCTGTGTTTGTGTATTGCAGGTCCATTTGACTTTACCAACAGCAAAGCCTATCAAATATAAAGCGCTACTATTAGGAGAGGATGCCTATCTCTTCTCTCTATCTCAAGGGTCATCTTTCACATTTTTTGACAAGTATGTTTTCAGTTGAAACTGGTTATAGGTTAAGAACATTTCAAATAATATATATGTATTTTTGCAACAATTCAATATTTGGTTGTTGTAAAAACAATCAGCAAATGCGTTCTTCCTTTTATAATTGATATGATTATATTTTTATTACTATGTTGAACTGAGATTTTGTATTTGGACATATTTTTGTTTTTGCAGGGGAAGTAGTGATCTGACCATCCAGTACAGCTGTGCATTTCTGCAGCCAAAGGAGGCTGCCCTTCTGCTTGTTTCCAGCTCATCATTTGGAGCACATGGAACGCTGGCTTTTCATCTGAAGACGTGTGTAACACACATGTCTCCCATGGTACGCTCTGAGGAAAGACTCAGGGAAAATGTCTGACTGTTTACTAGATAGCAAGCTGCATGTTATTGGCACGGGGCTGGCACACAAAAGGGTTTCATTTTATAATGGTTGACAGACAACAGTGCTCAGCGTTTTTAGTTATTACCCACTGTCATCATAATGGGTTCTCTGTGTCTGTATTCCCAAAAGCACCACCCAGTGTGCAACACAACAGCACATTATTGTGAAAAATATTTGTTCTTTTTCTCCTGTGTTTAGAAAACTGTCAAGTGCACTTCTCCTTGCTACCAGCTCAAGTCAATCCAACTGACAGTTACTAATCCTTTCAAAAGTAATGGCGACTTCAAGTAAGTGTGGGCAAAGACTATGTTGTAGCATTGTTACATCTATTGTGACAGGAGAGCTCATATAATAATTGTATTTTGTAATTTTTTCTTTAGAGTGAAACTTGTTGATTATGTGAACAATCCTCTGAAGCTAGAGAAGCCAAACCAGCAAACGCAAACAACCTGCAAACCCATGTAAAAGCATGATTTTTTTTTTAACAATAATGAAATATTCTTATTTTGCCCAATGGGAATTAGATTCACTCAATAGAAATATATGAGCTTTGCCAGTATCGCTATATGTAAAACTGATGTCTGATTTAATTTAATCTTGTTCCACATAAGATCTTTGAGTTGACATTAAAGGTGCCTGGTTAGTATGCGTCTCTAACCACCTGAGACATCTTCAAAGCTAAAAATTTCTTCACTTCCTCGTCAGACGTAGATGGTGATGAGGTCGTTGCTGGTTCTTCTCCAGCAGGTTCAGGAGTGTGTTACATTGGAATGAATAATAATTATGTTCTCACTCTTCCTTTTCTCCCTTTACAAGTCCCATAGTGGAAAAGATGACAGAGGGGAAACTGTCAGATCCTCGTAAGTTTGAACACAAGGATGGATATCTGCCATAGCTTGATATTGTTTGATTATTTGTTCTGTTTATGTGTTCAGATGTTGAAGAAAATACTGAGTTCCTTTGTGCAGTGAAGAGTGTTTTTCTGAAATCGGGTCAAGAACATGCTCTCAACATAGACTACTTGCCCTTTAGTCTTGGAAGCAGATACTGTTGTGTGCTGCTCACGTGTCCACAGGTTACTTTGACATTTTGTCTTAACTCAAACTTTAACATTAACTTAAGATAGATTTATCTTGTTAACTCATTTACCATTTAGAAAAAAAATATTACAAATGACTATGCAACTGCATTTGTAATTTTTTAGGTTGGAGATATTGTGTACATGATGAAAGCTACAGCAGATTTACCCCAACCTCTGACACTTTCTGCAAAGCCAAGTGAACATGTTAACTCCAGTGCTGGTAAGATTTGTACTTTTTATCATTAATAATAATAAGAATTATAAAAAACGAAAATCTCAAAATATGCTGTCCAGTGATATGGACTTTTACTTCTCCTTTTCTAAGATACATGTCCATTAGTGTTAAGTCTACAATGCAAAGTGGGTGAGGTGTGCAGAGAAGTTATCTGTTTGCCAATAATTAATATGGCCTGGGAGGAAGCGCTGGCTATATGGGGCCAATACACAATGAATGATGATGAGCACAGGAGGCGGTCTCTGACACACACTTTACACAGTAGTAGTGTGAGAAGAGCCATAGCTTTGCACAAACTTAGAAAGCAACAGGTATGCATATTCGTCTTAGTTAAATCTGCTATGTCTACATATTTTAACATATTCCTTGTACTATCAGGCTTGTTTGAAGGAGCCAGAAAATGGGATCGTGTACAACTTGGAGGTGTCTTTACCACAATACTTCACGTTACCAAAAACGGTTACTATGCCTGTAAATGAAAGCCACAAAATACCATGGGTGAATCCTGCAGGTACATTACTACAGGTTCTGAATTTAAATTTCAGTTCTGACAAATTATACTAGGGTCTAGATTGACAGTGTTATCACTGTTATTTTTCATGTCTGTGTATCCTCATTTTTATGTTTTTTGCACTGTGTTCAATAGACTGCCGGTGTGTTGAGATCCCACTACGCTTTCAAGCTGATTCAGTGGGAACATTCACATGCAAGATGGTCCTTAGATCCTGGTGTGATACTAGAGTCTACATGCTGGAAGCCAAGGTTACATCACAGGTAATATAGTATTCACTTTGTTATAATATGGAAATTATGTGTCACTTTTCCCATCTGTAAAGGTTATGTTTGATATTTGTACAGGAAAAAGCTGCACATCTAGACTTCACTACACCAGTGCACCACTCAGTCACACAATATATACCACTTGTAAGTCATTCATTGGAGTAGAATTCATATGATTGTATGCATGTTTTATAGATTGTTTTCTAACAAGACTAACATGATTAAATTTGCTTATAGCACAATGACAGTGATCAGGATTTGATAATGAAAGCTTCTATCTGTGGAGATGACTTCTCTGGACCAGAGGTTTTCTGTGTCGCTGTGGGTACTAAAGCATGTTATCCCCTGACCTTTCACCCAGCCACACAACGCATTGTTATGGTAATGTGTATATCTTTTCCTTTGAACCTTTGCAGTAGCATTAGTTTATGGCAATAACTTAAGGATTACTTTGCTTTGCTTGTCATATTGTCCTGCACTGTACTGGGTTTTGTTCCCTGTAAGTAAAACAGATGTATAGAAGAAAACTAAAGAATTTGCATTGGCCGGGAATCGAACCCGGGCCTCCCGCGTGGCAGGCGAGAATTCTACCACTGAACCACCAATGCATTGTTGACAGGATGTAAGGGGGGAGGGGCTTTTAAAGGGAACATTCCTGAGGCGGTCCTAGGCACCTGTATTAATTCATTGGTTAGACTGCATTTCTCTGTTGTTCTTGTACTTCTGCTCTCCTTGTGTGCATTCTTTATCTACTCAAGGATATCTGTCAGGTTAGCAAACTAAAATGCACTGTGTAACTTTGTCAGCTGCAACAACAAAGATTCAGTAGCTAAAAGTTTGGGGGAAAACAGAACTGTGGAGCAACTCCTGTGTCCAGGGCTGTTTCTAGGCTTTGGGAAGCTTTGGCAAAAAGCCTCTATTTGCCAAACTTCTAAATGCCTGCAATATCATAATTAATTGAACTTGAAAAAGTCTGCTGTCAATCATGCCTTTCCAATGTGTAGCAGTCAAAAATAAAAAATACCAATGCTTTTAAAACCATGTGCAAAATATATACACGTTATTTTAAATTATTACTATACTAGCAAACTTGTGGCAAACAGTCTAAGAGATCATCTCCACATGTTATACATGCTATCTTGATGTGTTGCCCGCTATGACTAAGACTGAAGCATCGGCTTTAGCCTCTAGAAACAAAGAAAGCATCAGCAGTCACCTCCGATCTTTCTCTGTAAAACCATCAAATCAGGTTAGAAATGTAGGGGTAACACTGGACACAGACACAGACAAACTTTAACAGCCACATCACATCAATCAGCATTTCAGTTTTATCCTGCTAAAATCAATCTTATTGAAGATATGAAACAAATTTGTACTCTGACATTCAAATCCAGGTTCAAAATTGTCTGTCAGTGTTCAGATTTAGGCTAAAAACTGTTCTTTTAAACTGTGCACACTTCTCTTTCATAAAATAATTGTTTTTAGGTTGTTTATGTTTTTATTTGTATTGTGATTTTAATGTCTTAAATAAAATACTGTGTTAAATACTGTGCTGTGCAAATAAACATTTTCCCTAAATCCTCTAGGGCAAGTTGATTTTACATAATGAGTGTAATGGAACTGAGCACCTGTTTACCCTGAAAGGAGTAGGAGAGTGCCCCCTCCCTGTGGACCACCTCTTACTACGCTGTTCTGTTGGAAGAAGCACTGAGGCACACCTGAATGTTCCAAACTACAGCAAGACCAAACTTGCATTGAAGGTATACACATACCCTAACCATATAATGTTGTTGGACAGAACTCTTTTTTTTTTTGGTTCCATTTAATTTATTTATGCACTTTGTGTGAATTTAGGTAGAGACAGATCTATCCATGATAAGTGGTCCCAATTTTGTGGACATTAAACCAGGTCAAACTGCACCCTACAAAGTGATTATATCACCATCAAAACGAGGAACACACAAAGGTATGTTTCTGCCATAAATGTGGCGATCAATGTAACTGGTGTTACAGTAAACAAAATAATGATACATATTGAAATAATATTGTCATATAATATTAATTGAACACTTTTTCTGTCTGAGTTATAGGTTGTGTGTCATTTGTGGAGATGCTCAAGCTAGGTAATAAGCTGTGGTTAGTAAATAGAAAACAACAAATAATGTTATTTGTGCTTTTCACACACTGTCATTTCCCAGGCGAAGAAACCCGCTATGAAGTGTATTTTACCCTAGAGATTATTTGTGAGGCAGCAGAGCCTTTGAAGAATATAAATGTTCAATGTCCTATTCAGGTATGTTTATCTTGTAAATCCAAGTGCCCTTTTACTGTTCTACATTTTTCACCCAATGAAAAAAAGAGCACATTTAGCAGAGGATGGTTTCGATCCATCGACCTCTGGGTTATGGGCCCAGCACGCTTCCGCTGCGCCACTCTGCTGTAAGAGCCATATAGTAAAGGCCATTGTTACATGCAGCCACAGCTTCATGTAGCTCTTAATGCTTATTGATGTATATTGAAAACAATGTAAGAAAAGTCTTATATTCAATGCTGAGTTTAATATTATGGTTGAGCTCATGTGCTTACATTCATGTACATTAAATTATGACACATTGATTATCAAGGTGAATGCAAAACTATTGTGTTCCCAGAGTAATGTTGCCATAGAGATCCCCATTAATAATCCATGCGAAGACCAACTAGACCTGAAGGTTTTTCTTGAAGGACATGGTCTCAGTGGTGAGAAGTCCTTTTCACTCCCTCCACGCAAGACTCTGACCTACAAGGTTATCTTTTCCCCTTGTGTGATAGGAAAGAGCACAGGCTGGTAAGTGTTAGTGCACAATTGCTGTATACATTTTATAACTTGAATTGCAGTGGGCTAAACTTTTGTTTTGATTCTGCTTTTCAGTGTTGCTTTTCAGCCTGAGATAGGAGATGAATTCTGGTATCACCTGGATCTTTATGCCCTTCCTCTTCCTCTTGTTGTGTTACCTGAGGTCAAGTGTCATCTGGGAAAGTAGGTTGGCCACAATGCTACACACCATTACACCGTTTCAGAACAACAAATTTACAAATCGATTAGAACCATATATTTAAAATCTCATATATGTATTTTTATGTACAAATCAGATGGACCAAGATAACCCTTCCTTTAGTTAATCCGACATCTGAGCCAATGGAGTTGACCATATCAAATAGTAACCCCCGAAATTATACACTAGACATGGATTCCAACAATGTAAGTATGGACACACTGGGAGCTACTATCATTTATTCATTTTCATGTATTTGAGGGCTCACTAGAAGAGATTATGAAATTATAAATACTATAATTATTTGGAGCAATTCATTAGAGGCCTTTCATTAGCATACACATAGAAAATGCCACTGTTGTTTTGCTTTATATAAGGCACTTAGAGCATGGTATATTATCTTCTTTTTTTTTTTCACATAATGTTTCTTAGGAAAAGTGTTTGGATATAAAGCTTTGAGTTGCTGAGCTGTGCAATGCAGCGGCTTTGTCTTTAAGAGCATTTATCCTTTGTTCCCACATCACTGTGTCCTGTGTGTGCCTCAGCTTACTCTGCAGCCACACTCCTCCTCGCAGCTTGGCGTCCGATTTAGTCCATCATGCATCGGGGAAAGAGACCACAAATCAGAGATCACTTTTTCATGCCCTCAGGTAATCACACACAAACTGCTTTATATAAATCACCATCCCTGAACTTTTCAAAACACTTTAAACAGATGGTCCCATTTTATTTGGTGCCTTGTTGCTTCAAATCATCAGTATTAAGTCTTGAACAGTTATAAAGCCTTATAAAGCCCTTTATTGGCCAGATGTACCTTTACTCAAGCAAGCATCTTTATTGCTTCCAATAGAATCAATATTTACCAAATGGCAGTGTTTTGTTTTTGTCCTGTCTTTTCCTTGTCTTAAACTCTCTAGTTGCAGCAGTGGTCCTTTTCACTGAGTGGATGTGGCCTTAATCCAGAATGTGAGGAGCCAGTGAGCATTTCAGCCAAGATGGGCTCCAGTGCCTCCATCAACATTCCCTTCACTAACCCCACTGAGCTCCAGGCTGTGCTTCATGTAACACTGACAGGTCACAGGCTCCTCTCTAATGGACACATTCAAAAAGATGGGTCTAACTACATACAGACATGCTTGTTTTGTTCTTTTTCAGATGAATATCCACATGAGAACCAAAACTACTATGGTGGTTTTACTATAATGAGCCATTTCAAAGGTGTGTTGTAATAGGCTAGGGATAGTCATGACACCAACAAATCATACCATGATTTCCTCTTTAATTCAAGTTCATGTACACCTCTTTATAATGATGTAAAGGCTTACCTAAACAAGCCTAAAGCTTATCTATATCATGCTAAATCATTACAACAATGTGTAATACATGTATAACAGGCATGTTATGAACAGACTGTATGTGGTGACACAGATGTACAGATAGATGCTGGAGCCAGCATTGATGTTCCTGTTGTGTTCACACCAACTTCCATGAAGATTGAAAGAGCTCAACTGTGCATCTTTATGGAATTCCCTGGTAACTTTGGCATTAGCTCACCCTCCAGTGCCCATAGTCAGAGGTTTGTTCTTTTTATATTTGAACACATTTACAGATGCAGTAAGCGTTTGAGGAAACAAATCAAGTAATGTTTGAATAAGTGCAGGGAAACAAACCATTAACTTTGCTCATTCATATACTGTTCATCAAGATGATTTTGATGAGTTTCTGACTGTTTCTATGTAGAACTTCTGATTTAGATCAAGTTAGTTATTCCATACTATAAAAGTTAAGTTTAAAATGTGTATTCACCTTTATTTTAGGTCAGCTCAGGATTTGTCCACCATCTGCTGGATTTACCCACTCTGTGGGATTCCCACAGAAGTGCCTGTTGAGAGCCCACCGCTTGGCTTAATTCGGTGTGAAGCGGGCTGCCAGCTGGAGAAGAAAGTGGATGTACTGCTTGCAGGATGTGTTTTGGGAAAAAAAGGTTTGTGGCCTGGAAATTTATTGTTTTAAAAATAATGTGTTTTATTTAAAAGAGACAAAACCAAAAAAAATTCCATGTTTTTAAATGCAGTGACAATGGAAGACTTTGTATGTGAAGTACACTTAAAGCATGAAGAGCTTGAAGCTGAGGAAAGTCTTTGTGCTGTCGTTGAAACAGCAAAGAAAGATCTTGACTCTGGTGAAGTCAAACTCACTCTTCATCTCCTCTACAGTCCACTTGAGCCAAGCAAGTCACAGTAAGATCATCAAAATCTGTTATGAAAAACACATTTTTATGTACTGACACATTTGAACAGTGGACAGCCCACAGATGAAGAAAAGTCAAGTTGTTTTTTTTATCTATTATTCAGAGCAAATGAAAAAATGCATATGCCCTTTTCACCAAAGAGACATAGAAACAAAGCAGAATAACAAACATGTCATCTCCCACTGTGAAGGAAAGCAACTGAAATATGCCAACAATGAGGCAGACAGCACTTCCTTTAATATATACACATCACTCAATAATAACAACAGGAGACAGTCTGTGTGTTGCCTCTAGCCTCTGCTGTGTGAGGTACTGATAATGTACTTGAGCCTTTCTTGGTAAACACTGCATTCATTTTTTGTACTCTCTCTCACCACAGCTTCACACTGTTCCCCTTACTGTCTCCTTAAGGTGTACTTGTCTGCATTCATTTATTACTGTCTGCATGTGCTGACTCTTAAAAGCTAAAGGTTGCCCTGGCCAGCATCATGTTCATCGCCTCCAGTCATGTTTAACATTGCTTTAAATGTAGGTCATATTCCTATACAGCTCACATTTGCTGTACTTTGACTGAAAAATGAGCACCTTTAGTTATCGGTCAGAATCGTTAATGATAAGGCTGTGAAAAGTACCCCGTGCCCCTGTCGTCTGTACTGTACTGTGTGGCACCCGCTGTGCTCAGAGCGCGTTCATTTATCAGCTGCTGTCTTCATCTGTGCAGTCCATTAATGAGGCGTGCCCTGGCAGAATCAATACCTCCGAGAGCTAATGACTTCTACATGAGCAAATGATGGGAGTGTGGGGCCGCTATAGGACCCTCCATTTACATGCTATTCTTTTACCATGGGCAAAGAACAACTAATATATGACTAGAAAAGACAAGATGGGAGTCAGATAATACATACTTACACTTTACCTACATTTAATATGTTTTGGTGATATTGTGGTTAGTTTTTACTGTAATACAATGTAGCAAGCACTCAGAAGTAAGTACTGCATGCATAGAATGTATTTGCAATATTTTATCTTAAAATATTATTTAAGATGCCTGTTTTTCTTCCTCATCCAGTTTGATCAATCACATTCTTCTAGCCAGTTCTGAGCAAGAGTGTTACATTTTCCATTGCATAGATTTTATTATGTATCCGTCAAGGTGCCAAGCATCAGTGATTGTGAAGTGTGTGTCCGGAGGCACTTGGGAGTTTCCAATCACTCTGATTGCTACAAAACCATTATTTGATGATGTCATCCACATTGAGGCGTCGGAAGTTGGGAAAACATCAGCTGTGGGCTTCAGGCTAACAAGCACTTCAAGGTCTATTTAACTAATTAATCATTTTCCGTGATTTGAATTATATTGGAATTCATTTTAATCAAATATTTGAACAGACATTTTAATTATGGTGAGTTAATTTGTGATTTCCCCTGTAGGAGCCCAGAGCCATATACTGCAGTGTTTGTGCCAGGGAGCAGCATTGAGTTTACAGTGGCTCCTGCTTCAGGGATGCTGCCACCCATCAACTCGACTGGTGCACTCATCACAGTGTCCTTCACGCCAAGCTCAAACAGCAGGAGGAGCAGAGCCAGACTTCAAATCAAGGTGCCCTCAAAAGCTTCAATAGAAGGGATGTTGGTGTTTCAAAAGAGACAAATTGTAGCTGGATAACAGGTAGTTGTGTTGTGTTTCAGGCAGCAGATATGCTCTGGACCTATGAGGTAAAAGGAAGTATTCTTCATAACACACCTCAGAGTGCTCCTTCACAAAGCAGTGCATCATCTGAGCCCCGCTCCTCCATTCCTCACTCAGCCAATGTGAACCAGAGGAACTTTGTGGTTCGCAATCTTCGTATCCCTGGTTTGGCCAACTCATCTCCACTTAAAATCTATAGATAAATGTAGTCCATTTGTGTTTAGCCTTTTTGTCACTTTTTAATTGTACCTTATCTTACTGAGACCTGTTATGTTAATTGCTCCTGTTTAAATGTTTTATTTTCTGAAAATTGACCCATCAGTTTATATCACCTCAATACATCTAATTAGATTCCTCTGAATCTAAATCATTAAAGATTGTATGCAAGAACATATAGTCCACATTTCTAATTAAACTGTGCCATAGAAAATGTTGCTAGTTTGCATTGTAAACCCTAATCTGCATTCACTTCACTGTACTGAGATTTAATTAATCTAATTCTGTGTTTTCTACTTTTTTAGAGTTGTAGGGTTATTTATGCTAACCTTACAAAGAGGATTATGATTATGACAACATACCTTAAGTTTATGCTGAAAATTAATACAGTATTCTTGTAATTGTTAGCCTAATTTTTTCCCCACAATCATGTTCTCTACTTCACTTAGCTTTTTTTATCAAATCACACATGCAGGCATTGTCTTCTTTTTTGTACAAAGCCTTACACTAGGGCTGAGTGAATTGGGTAAAATATCAAATTTTATTTTTTCTGACAAGCATGGCTGTAACAATTAGATTGGCAATTTATGTTATAATGATAGGATTCTATCACACATTCAAATGAACTGACCATAAAACTGAAATATATAAAACTAATGTAAGAATTACATTTTAGAACATGTTCATACAGTTCTAAACTATGTTTTTTTATGCAGAAAAAGACAGAATATTGTACTGTTTGTGCAGGAAATTCTTGTTCAAAAATTGCAACCCTTGTGCTTTGCTAATTGAAATTGAGATTTTGATTTGATTGCGTTTAATTTAACCTTACACTGTAACCACTGCTAAAGAACTGCAAAATGAAAATATCAAAAGCCTTTCTTCCAATTATCGGTTAGTGGGTCTTGTGTGTTTGTTAGCTTGTAGCTTCCTGTGCATACACGTATAGCGCTGTCCTATGGCTCACCTTGTGCCTGTGGAATTATTCACAAGGCAGTTACGCTCAGTTATGCGTCCATTAAGCACCATCTGCAGCCTGCTGGGGCAAGAATGGAGGGAGGAGATGGCTACGAAAGGAGAGGAAAGATAGAGAGACTAAGTAATAGACTTGAAGGAGAAGAGGAATAGGTGAGAGATGTGTGATGGAGGGAAAACAGATGAGTGCAGCAGATAACAGTAAAAAAGCACAGTTGGGAGGCAGTCTATATAGTTTGCATATTTACTGTGAGAGAGGCAGAAAGAGTGTGCCCATGTCCCTGTGGGAGTGTCTGACTGAGCATGCACACATTAGGTTTAAGTTGATTTCTGTTTGTGGATTACTCGGTGGGGAACACTGCCCCAGCAACAGATGAGTCAAGCCATTCGTAATTGTAAGTGGGGTCTGATATGTTGCCAGTGGTAACAAGAGATCAGACACACAGTAAAATCATACAGCGATGGCCAAATATCACAACATTTGAACACAACAAATATAGCACAAATAATAAGACTAGTAAAACCCCAGGAGGCTGCTATATGATGTGGATTAATACTGTAAAAGTCAGTGAGTGAGAAGCAGCATTGTAATTCCTGCCCACCAACTGAGTCTTTAGACCTCACCCAAAAAGATTTAAAAGTGTTTATTGATTGTTGTTCAAAATGTGCTACAAATTCCCTGAAAAGAATTTTGAATGAAATTTGAAAGAAAAAAGCTTGACTCACCCTGTCATTTGTTGTTTTATTTCTTTTTTTAAAATACTTAATAAAGTTTACATACATACAGAAGACAACAGATATATGAAGCTAAATATATGGAATTATTTGGTGAAGAAAAAAGTGAAATAAATAATATCTTTCAACAAAGCAAAAGCTAAGGGGCTATTTTTTTTAACTTTTTTTTTCTTTGCTACAAAATTCCATACATCTTACTTAATATATCTGATGTCTTGAATGAGAAGGTGAGTCCTAACTTTTGACTGCTAGTGTGTGTCTTAGTGTATTTTTTCCGCTTTAAAAGGCAACTCCAGTCTATTTGAAAGATGAAGTTTAGATGTTTAATAAAACTAGGTCACAATTTCCCTCTTGAATCTTTAACTAGTCATTTTTGGTTTGGCAGAGGAAAGCTTATACTTTGGCATTAAATCTTCAGTTTTATCTCTGGGACACTGGGACAAAACTGAGCAAATGTATCATTCCATGCATAACAAAATGACACATGCTGACATCTGCTTTCTTTATTAGACTTGTAAATTGCGATTTAAATAAAAGGACAAAAGTAGCGAATGATAATATTTTGAATAACTTTGATAGCATTTGACAGCTGAGCCATATGGGGCTGCATGCACTAATCCCGCTTGCTTCCCGCCATTCCTAAAAGGATTATCTACTTGGATGCTTAATACTATTTCATTTTCATTCTGTCACAGGGAGTCATATTCCCATACATCAGTCACACTGGGATTCAATTAGCACGCTGGTAATTAAGCAGGGGGCTCTCACTCCCTGAAATGCACACAAAACAATCTGACAAGCTGCCAGTCGGAGTCAGCTGAGAAATATGTACTCGTGTTTTTTTTTTGGTGTAAAAGAGCGCGTGGGTGATAAAACATTGTAAGATATTGTCTTTTAACGTCTTGACTCATCATTGAGGGAATTTAACAGGTGTCAAGGAATACGCAGATACACCCACACTGCTCCTTTGAAAAATGAACTCAAGAATTTGGTTGGATTCACTTAAAAAACTGCTGTTTGTTAAATCAAGTCAAATCTCTTACAACAGTAATAATTTTATGTACCACTTTTTGAGTTGAGTACGAGATTTGCATTTTAGCATTGCAAGTAGTAGTAGTCTCAAGAAAAGTCATACATTGTAAAATTAACAAGAAGTTACTTTTTTGTACATCCTCTATTCCATACTATAATTCTGTCTATGCTTCCCGTGATTTTTGTGTGTGCGTGATAGAGTAACTGGTCTAGTTTTACCCTGGTTCACCTGCCGTCAAGAACAACCAATCAAATGTCAGCTTATCCTCCCACTGAAACATGTGAACCTACTTTGAAGTGAAATCAATCAAATTATTACTTCAGTACTTTTATTTTTTTGAATGACAGCCTCCAAGCTTTTGGGTGTAAAAGTGTGATCGAACCCAGATCCAAAGTCCCTCTGATGAGCATGAATCATGACAGGAGACAGGAGATAGAGGAAGAACAAGCTGCTCAACCCCTTCTTCATCTTCTCATTTTTACCGCCTTTAAAATGCAACTTTGAGTCCTAGGAAGTTATGCGTGTGGTTTTAAAGAAGTGTGCAGTGCAGTCTTATTTGTGGTACTTAGTTTGGTCATTGTGTCACATTTTCTACTTGGATATTAGCTGTATCACCTTTATATTTACTGTTCAGTTTTCAATATGGAACATACCACTATACTGAAATCAAAGTTAACGTTGTGCACTTCAGGCTCAGTCTTGAGATGCACTGCTTTTTAAAGTGAAAATCTGTGTTATCAAATGTTATAATGTGTTGTGAAATTACTCTTTAAGTGACTAAAAACCCATAACAGGGTACCACTCCCATTTTACTTTCATTATTTCAGTATTTGAAATAGGCTTATGTCCATTTTTGTGGATAAAAGGTGAATGCAAATTCTTCTCCTCAGTTTTTTGTAGCTAGGCAGCTTGTAGACATGTTTCTCTGGTTGTGTTGATGAAGGATATGTTGAATATGAAAGTTCATAGCTATTTTAAAGCTCCCATGTGGCAGCGTAGATGTTTGCGTCTGATATGGCACTGTTGATCGGCCCGGTTTGTGACAGTTGTGTTTGGATCTATATGCTCTGCCTGCAGCATGCTGCACCTGTGTCTGTGCCTCAGATGGAGACAGATACAGAGGAATGTTCAGCACAGGATATGAAATATGCTAATGAAACACCATTATAATAACCCATCATCACATGCACTGCAGAGGAAAACGAAAAACTTAACACAGGATTTTGTCTCTTTCTGACCTTGTTTCTTGACACAATTGGAATGATCTTGTCCTTGCTGTGGGCAACCACTGTTTTTCAGATTGTTTTTCTTATACAGCAGATAGTGGACTTCATTAGAGAATCAATCATCACAGAAACAAAGTTATTTATTTTTGTTTAAAGGCTTGTTTATTAAAATAAGAACAGTATAAACGTTGTTTAATTGTTGTAAATTATACATTTCAAGATCTGTGCCCTGCACAACAGAAAACTGATAATGCATGCAAAACAGCATACATTTATAGTCCATTCATGTTGAACCAAGCAGTTTTTGAATGTTAGAACTTTGTAAAGTAGTAACGCCCTGGGGTGTCTAATACACAAGTTATTTTATGTATAATTATATTTAAAACATAATACTGAGAGAAAACCATTATTAAGATTATACAGTTTTGTAAGCATGTCCAAAGTGTGAAGTCACTAATGGTACTGTAAAAAGGAGAATAGCGTAAGCAGGTTCATCGTATATATGAAACTTATGTGAAAATTAAAGGAATTTGCTTTGTTAAAGGCAGCTTTTCTTTTTTGGTGGTAAGGTAAACTCAAATGAGTTGTAATGGTGGTTATTAACCCACAAAAATGAAAACTGGTTACTAATTCCTATAGGCTATGTGCAGTCACCCTTTATCTTTAATCAAACTATTATTTCAACTATATATTAAGTGAGTAATTTGTGGTGAAGGTCAACTCTAGTATTTCATTTTAAATAAATGTGAACTAGCTCTATCAATGAAACACACATCGTGATGGCAATATCCATCACCCTGTCTATTTTCTATTGATCCTTTTTATTTTAGTCTGCTGAGTATTAACATTCAGGACCAGCACCACTTAATAAACAAGTGTGTTTTCTACCACAGTAATAATAGGACATTTTCATTTGTGATTATTATGAATATGTTTAATTGTGTCTTTTGGTCTATAGGCCAATGTGTGTAACAGCATTTTATGTGTAGAAGTATAGTTAAAGACACTAAACCACAAGAGGTTTTACAACTCTCATCTGCTATGGTGGTAGGAGCGGCTGATGGCGCAGACTGAGAGTCTCTCCGCCCCAGGGCAGTTGTGGAGAATGGTCACTTACCATCACATGTGTGGACTGAATGAATAATGACTAAGTGTAGCGCTTTAAGAGTAAAGCATTTTATTAAATGAATGCCAAACTCTGTCATTAAGTGAATAGCATATTGATCATTAAAGATTAATCAAGTGTTGGTAAACTATTTGTGTTTTGTGATTATTTCTATGTGCACCAAAAGACTGCAGCACAGCTTTAATTTTGTTACTTTCAGTCAACAAAGCACTTCTCATAGACTGCGTAATTGCCGTTGGTTGACAAATTAAATTAAGTGGGCCTACTCTCTGGACTTCATCAACATTTCTCTAATATAGTCTACTGTTTGTGCAAACCTTGCTTCCAATTCAATAAAGTCCCATTTTATCAGATCTCAAAGAGTCCATGCATCTCGTCGATAAACCATATCCGGAGGCTGTTTTGGATTAATGTGTGAATAACTGATGTGTCTTTCCATTAAGCCCTCTATCACTATTGAGGGAGAGAAAATGTTCCGTTCCTCCAGGCTCAGCGCCGCTTTCACCTTCCCTGGCTATCTGCTGCCCTTGTCGGTCTCCTCTGCTCCTCTCCCCTGCCATCCTCACGTCTCATCATCACTCATTATTGTCGGGGTAAACAAGGCCGCGCTCTTCCTCCCATCACTCTCCGGCTCTCCTCTTTTTCCGCTCGGATAACCATATGGATAGATCGTGCCTGCTGTACACCTCACAGAGATCCTTGTTTAGCTCCGGCCTTCTCCTTGTCTCATCTCCGGGCCCATTAGTATGCATAAAGGAAGAGTAATATTCCTTCTCCTCTCAGTATCCCTCAGCGTCTTATTGAATTTAATTATGCGGCTCGGGGTTCTTAAAGTGGAGAGAGACTAAATGGGCTAATGAGGTGAGATCATTTATCCTGTTTGGACTGTCTGCACAAGGCCCTGGTCAGTTGTTTGATGTTTGCAGGTGGACCTGTTCAAGTTATGGACAACTCAGCCAAACAGACTAGTTTAGTTGTTTGAGAACATGCACTCACTATAGACGGCTTAATCCTGCAGACTGGGAGGCTGCAGCGGCACAAATAATTCAAAACCTCTATCACCTCATGTTGTATGTGAGTCGTGAGATGTTAATATTTGTAAATTTAAGGATAGACTTAAATCTGTATTACTGACTAAACGCAGACTAAATAATCAAAAGCTGTTTTATTCAGAGAGTTGGCGTTGGCTGGAGACTTTTGCTTAGTTTATGATACTGTGGGTCCTTTTGTCCCTTGTCTCTAGGACCCTGTGGCACGTGCCGATCCCTGGGTGCTGTGACGTCAGCGCGCCAGAGTGTGGAGATCTCCAGCGCGCGACGGCAGCGGTGCCCAAAGGCGCAGGGACCGTGCGGCGCTCCACGCACCAGCACCGAGCTGCAGCCGCAGTCACAACAGCCGCCTCCGCCCTCGCCTCTTCTGCACGTATCCTCCACCTCAGCGCTGTTCTTTTGTCTGTCGCCATGTCCTCCGCTGTCACCGAGACCCAGGAGTCCTCCGGCAGCTCCCCGCTCACTCCTCTGAAGCTCGTGGGACTCGTGTGCGTCTTCTTGGCGCTGTGCCTGGATGTGGGTGCCGTGATGAGTCCCGCGTGGGTGACCGCTGATGACCAGTACTACCTGTCTCTGTGGGAGTCCTGCTGGAAACCTGCGAGCACCGAGAACTGGCAATGCAGCAGCACGTTAGGATCAGGTACGATGTACACATGTTATACAGGCTACTACAACTGTACGAGATGTGTTACGCACTTGGGCAATGCGATCCATGTTTTGACTGGACTCTAGTCATTGCTCAAAACTCGCTCTAAAACATATAGACTTATTTTGCTTTTACTCTTAAATCTAAAAAAACACAGTGCTTTTAGAGTTAAGTTCTGGAAATAAGGGTTCAAGATCGTGCTGATTAGTTCTTTTATAGTAATTCCTAAATCTCAAACCAAATCTCCCATGTAAACGGTACAGCAGACTATCCCGAGTTGAGCTATAGGTTTGGTCAAAACATTATCTGTGGGAACACTGTGAAACGTCCTTGCCAGTGTTTAGACAGCGCCATTGAGCCATAACAAAAGCCAGTGTTGACAGCTGTGTCCATCGGTGCCTCCTCTGGGACCTTCACTTTCAATGGCTCTAAAGGTGAAACAAAGGGGTATTGCAGCTATAGCATCTTAATTTCAGACATATGGCCAAACCGCTTTACACAAAATCAGTTTCAATTACTGTGGGAGTCCAGCTTTCCAAATTGAAAGTGCTACAAGTCTGATGTAATTTGTGGAAACCAAATGTTCATGTACTGATTAAAAATTCTTCGTTTATGATTGAGGTTTTGTAATTAATAAGATAATTTATTCTAAACTGTTGCTGTTATGTGATATCCTGTAATCTAAGCATTTATAACAATCAGGATTTTGGTCATGAAAAATTTGTTTTAAGTTTCTGGTGGGGTGTCCGCCACTTGTTTGTCTTCATGAAAATCTTATTACTTTGTTCAGAATGTCCCACAGTATGGCATTGAGCTTATTTATTTGCATGTATAAAGTCCACAATGCTTCCAGGCCATGTTACAGGTCAGATCTGTGAAGAAGTGAGTTCACTCAATGTACGAATGCATATTTTTGATAGTATTTGTGCGCACCTGTAATCCAATAAATACAACATAGATGAGTTTAATGCCATATTGTGAAATCTTTCAGGCAAAGCAATAATATCTCCATGGAAACAAGTTACACAGTGCTCCTTTAAGCTGTTTTTGTTTAGTCTTGTTGTTTTAATAATACATTGAGGTGCTGGATAGGGTGTAATTTTGTCTGTCTGAATTGGTTTGTAGGGAGAGACAGACTTGATGAGCGTGAGTTTAATTGAGACAAAAGGGTTTTATTTATTACCTGTGTGAGAGAGAAGGCGACAGGTGGCTAATCACAAGGGAGCTTTAAAAGTTAATTATTGAAAACTCTTAAACCCTGCAATGGCAATGATCTGCTGATGTGTTTGCTTTTAGATTGGCAAATATCAAGCTGTTATTTTCATGTAATAAGATTATGCCTGTGTGGTCTGCAGATAGTGTCAGAACATTTCTATTTATTTGAGATTGTGCTGAGATGTCCAAACACAGACACTCCCAGACAGTTCTTGGGTGTTCAGCCTCCAGTTGTAATACTCTGATTGACAAGTGGATTTAACCAATCACAGTGAAGCGTGAACTCTCAGAAGATTAAGTTTGTTGTGGTTACCTTTTAAAGCAGACCTATTTAGCCAAATCGACTTTTCAGAGCTTTAAACCATGTTATATTTGTTTCCCCTCACCATTTACTCACCTGAAGTTGCATTTGGAGTGATTCGTGTATGTTTGAGCAATCTTTAATTGCTCCACTCTACCGACCAACTCCTGTTCTCACTGCCACCGGCATACACCCACTGCTCTCTACTTATTTAGTTTTCCAATTTTATTTTCTTAATCTGTGATGCGCATAGGATTCGGCAACACCGTGTAGTCATTTTAGTACAAAATTCTTCTAGCATGATGTACAACTCCCATTGGCACTGTAGTTTTCAATCAACGGACCTCTTTCTTTTATGAAGTCATTTAAGATTATTATAAAATATGCAAATTATAATGTAATGTTGTCATAGATTATAATTATATATCAGGCTTAAGCACAATAGGTCTTCTTTAAAGCAGCTTGTCTTCATCAATCAATGAAAATGCATTTATAGGGCACATTTAAAAGAGCCAAGGCAACAACAACAAGCAGCATTTACAAGAGCTGAATCTAATATTAATTGTCTTGGCACCATATATAATGTAATGCAATATAATGCACAATGGTGGTTAGTCAGTGTATTTTTCAATTTAGTTTTTAATTACAGAGTTTGTCTTTAGTTGTGTCTTGTTTTGCCTTCTATATTAGCACAGAAATGCATTAGATCATGGGGATTTCCAGACTCACTAAGTAATGGTCCTGATGGTGACTTACATTTCTGTGTTGTAATGTTTAGATGCAGTCGATTCACATCTCTCTGTTGTTTTGAATTAAACATTGACCATTGTGTCTCACTCAATTTATTTTCTATCAGCTCCGGTAATGGATAGCATTTACCTCAAGCAAATAGGGCCAACAAGCCTGATCCATATGGCTAATGTAGAGTCAAGTACACCTTACACGCCTCATACTTGTGCTGCCAGTTTGAAACTCACTTTTGATAAGGGAAAAACTCAATACAGATTTCAATATCACAATGAAAAAAATCCATACCTTGCTTTTAATGTATAAGGTACAGTACATACTAGTAGATGCACTGGTCGTACTAAGAACTGGTACTATTAGGTATAATTTAATGTAGTTGTACTTTTTTCTACACAGAATTTCAGATTTTTTTAGTTTGGTCATACTATTTCTGGAAAAAGCTGAAGAAAAATTTGTGTTTTTGTCATGATACTAAAGTTTCAAATTCAATTTTTATACTGAAGAATAGACTCGATACTGAATATTGATTCTGATACCATTTGATGATAATAAAAAAGCATAATGTGATTTTTTTCGGCATAAAATCTTAGTACTTTCTTTTATATTATCATGTCCTATCCCTCAGCCGTCCAGGTAGGTTCCATTGTGCTCCACTGGCGTATACTAGTCTATGTGCTCAGCTCAAGATCATTCTAAATCAAGATCATTCTGTCCTGCTCAACTGAGTATCTAACCGTAGTTTCAGTAGATTTGTATTGTAAATTGTATACCTATCTGCTGTTTTTGTCAGTTTTGTTTTGTTTAAACATTGTTGCCCTATTTTCAGATCTAAGTTACAGTGTTGTTTCCTCATCAGAAACATACCGGGAGTTGTGTTTTGTTTCATTCACAAGTGGTAATACAGATGCTTTGTGTTTTTTTTAAACTCCATACACCTTCACTAGAATCATTTGAATAATTTCAGGTATGTTTTTGAGGAACTAACAACATAGCATAAAGCTCAAAAGAGTCAGTTTTGCATAATATGGGACCTTTAAGAAGGCCAACATTACCAAATAAAGCTGGTATCCTATCATATTGTATTACATTATCTAGTCTCTATAGAACAAACCAGCCTATCCCTGTCCCTTTGTCCCTTGTTTGTGTATCTTTTGTCCACATTTGTTTCTGTTGGCGTGAGAGCAGCAGAAGCCTGGCTGTCCACATGTCAGACCATAAATTGGAGAGTGTGTCTACATGCGTGTGCCAATAAGGCTACTATAGCATGTGGAGCTGACCTATTTCTGGACAGTCTCCTCTGAAGCCCGGGCTGAATATTTTATGTCACACTCTTGATTTCTCCGTTGTTGCGTCTCCCCTGCACCTTCCCTCCCTCCTCCTCCTCCTCCTCCCAGCGAACACCAAAACTGACACCATTTCTGTGGACATAACTTCCAGCCCCTGCTACTTTTTCTATTTTCTCCTGAACCCGCCTGGCTAATTAGATGTCTAGGCGCGACGGGTGAGTGTCTAGAGCACTCACACATCTTAAAAAATAAATCACTTCTTTGCTGTGTATACCAGCTGGTTACCGTATCCCATTAAATCATAGTACTTTCTTTTATATTAGCAAGTGTCCTTAAATTTGTGTGATTTCTCAGTGGTCCAGGTAGAATCCATAATGGTCCATGGGTGTATACTAGTCTGTGTGCTCTTACTTGTTCTGAAAGAGCTCAAGATCACTCTAAAGCTATTCAGAAAATGCTCATTTTTGTCTTGTGAATGTGAATTTCTTAAGTATCGATGATTTCTCAAATGAGTATCTAGTTTCAGTGCTAGTTTAGTATCGATTCATATCAGATTTTTTTTTGCTGCTTATACCAGCTGGTTACTGTATCCATTCCATTCCACCATTGCTAAAATTCCTCACAATTTCTTTCTGTCTTAATAATGTGAAACGAAATTAATTGCTACTAGAAATTTTCCATTTTCCACACCTTCAAAACCCCTGCAGATACTACTTCTTTGTTCATGTGCACTTAGGCAGCTGTGGTCCTGCTGAGCTACCATACTGTCTTAAAGCAATTAGTGGAATATATAGAGCAAGTTACGTCATAAATTCAACTCATTTGCAGGTTTCCTCAGTACAATTTATAGAATGCGAACTGGGCAAAGTGCTTTGAAAATATTATTATTACATTGTTCAATGAAATTACAATGCAGGGCTCATATAGCATCTTACGTGTTGCTGCTGCATAAGCCACAACTTCTTTGATGAATTTTGCCTTTTTCACTGGTAAGTTTAGGTTAAAAGGCCAAAAAAATTACAAAATCTTCTGATCTATATTATAGGGTTGAAAAGATATCCAAGTCTCACTATACAATTTTGTCATGTTACGAACCTCACAGTTCAATATTTATTGCGATATTGTGGAAAAGCTCACGATATGGTGAGGAGGCTCACGATTAGGGTATGATATTTAGTGAGATATTTTAGGCTAACAAAACTGTGAATATGCTACTTTTTCCTCTTCAAATGCATTGACAAGACTTAATCCAAATAACTAAGACTTAAAAGTGCTCAAAAGTGTTATTTATTCTTGTAGTCTACACTGAAATGGAGCAAAGGATCATGGTCTATGTAGTTCCCTGTCTTTTTTTTTTGCTATTGCTGCACCATAACTCTTAATTTAAGCAAACAGACTTTTAATTTGATATATTGTGATGGTCCACGATATTATTGTGTGAACTT